TTGTATTTGTTCTATTTGAATAACTTTTCTAATAGAGCATATAAAGCCCAAATTACATTCTGGATCATTAAAATATTACTACATGTATTACTAAATTATCATAAAGGTTTAACTGAATGATTGGATTGGTACATTTCAAGGGTAAAACGAGAACTGAGTTTCACTATGACTCCAAGAAAGGATGGAACAAAAGTATTGCAGTATGATACACTGTTTTGCTACAAAAATAACTATATTGCTCACAATGTAGCCATTGCTTCCTGTAGCAATACTTCTTATAATGTAGCTATCATGTTAGCAAAACAGATAGCAACATTAAAGATTCTTCCTTCCTTGCAGTCACAGTAAGGGACTACGTCAAAAGATCGATGTCGGATAAAAAACTTAATTCCTTTAGTTTTTTTCCAAACCCCCCTACCCCCCACTGAAACTTAATTGATAAATATTGGTCATGGCGTTAGACTACATTCACCATTAAATACAAATTGATAATTGAACAGTAGTATTGCATAGCAGTTGGTTGTCGGGTGGGTGTAAAAAGATTTTACAAATGCACCTCATTTGACGCACAGATTTACACTCGAACCAAACCATTTTCTCATCTTGGATGTGTTTTTTTCCTTTTCGGTTATTTCTATCCATGATTGGATAGTAGAAAAAAAAACGAACTACAACTACTCCAAGATTTTTTTTACTTCATTAACAAATAAAATCGTTTTTGTAGGATGGAAACTTTTTGAGGTCAAAACCCCCCACCCCCAAACTAAAGGAAATAAGTTTTTTATCCGACATCGATCTTTTGACGTCGTCCCTAATGCAGCTCCTATGGTGAAATTTATTTTATCTAAATGTGTTTTTTCTACGAAACGCTGAAAGTGATTGTATTTTGATGGAAATGTTGCTTTTTTGACAACAAATGATGCAATACATTTGCACTGACTTTTACTCTAAAAATTTGACCAGTTCAAAATTTGAATATAATTTTGTATTCCTAAACCATTTTTCAAAATTTAGATTTGTTATTACCTCTTTAAAAACAAAATATCTATCACTTGACAGCAATGAAATAAAACATGAGAATGCTACCAAACCACCGGGCATGCAAGTTTTAATATTTACCAGCTTGACTGGAAAATTACCTGTCTCAGACATATGGTGGACAGTAATTTCAAACGCTGGGAATATGAACAGTTAGTCTAAATATATTCATATGAATCAATGTCTGTTCTTCTTTATAGGACTTGTAGTGGTTGCAGGATCACATTAACACTATGTAATCCCAAGTATTTAAAGAAGTCCTAAAAATCATAAACAGCGTCTATTAAAATATTGTTGTAAACATCAAATGGGCTTCAATTAAAGTTTAACTATTTCATCACCAGTTCCCTCATTTCATCACAAATTGACGAAATAGTCCCGTTTATAGTCTACAATTTCCTTCAGAATATTGGGACAAGAGATGAATTGAAATTTTGTCTGCTGGCTCCAAAATAAGGGTTCATTTCCAGAAATATTGAAAAATGTAAGAAAAAAGTGCAGAAAAAATGTAGGCAAGAAAGTCCGATGTTGAAAGGATTAAGCTATAAAAACCGAAGTGAGCAGGGGTAGAAATTAAAAATTTTAAATTTACTGTTTATTGGACTACTTTGAGAATAAAAGGACCGTCCCCATTTTATCAAGATATCAACATTTCATTGTTACATCATCATACCACTAGACTTTGAAGTTAACTTTTTGACATCAGTAACTTGGGACACACCCATTTGACCAGTTAGAAATTAAATTAGGTATCCTCGTGGATATGTAATCAACATGCCCAGTGCGCATTTAAATTTTGTGCAATTAAACAATGGTGTGCACATGTGTTGTTTATATTGCATGGAACCCTTATTGAACGTGATTTGTGGCTACGACAGTGGCAATTTAAGCTATTAAAATAATAGTTAGCGAGAGTTGAAATTAATTATTGTACCTATGTGACACATTATTGTAGTCGCTTACTCATAATTTCTGAGAAAGTTGGTTATAAATCGCGTGATAATGTTCATTGGTTCCAGGAAATAGCATTCTTTTGTGTATTATGGTGACGAATTTTGAGAAAAATGTCTGAATATTTTTTTTTAATCATTATTTGAAATAAAGCAGGACAACAACAAATTCACAAAGTATATTTCCAACCAACAATATGAGATATGGCATAATATCTCTACCATAGGAACCAACGGTAAAATCATCCAAATACAATACATTATTTTTTTCTCAAAAATTAGGCTGGTGACCCTCAATATCCTTAACTTGCTCTGGAGTAGAATTTATTTCAAAAGCATTGTGGGTATTAAATGTATGTCTACCTTAAGACATAATATTTGAAATACTCATAAAGATTTTGGAACAATAATCACTTAGTATTCCAGTTAGCCAGTTAGTAACACTTGATATCTTAACATTACCAGACAATTTCTGCGTTCACCTGTCCTACTTAAAATCTACTTGACTGGGGAAATTGCTCCTAAACTGTATCATCATAATTCCTCCACTTCTTGCTTGACCTTTACTTGGCACTAGTGAATTTCACAGCTATATCTCTTTCCTTTCTCCTTAATCTTTAATTGCTCATTAAATTCTAAGACAATAACTCAATCTAGCATATCTACTGCCTGGATTGACCCAATTCCAAACGGGAACGGTAGCATTCCATGCATCCCAGGGACAATCAGGAGCCAATTGAAGGTAGATCGTTTAAAATTTTTAGAAATTTTAATGGATGCAGCTTCACATTCCAGCCAAATTCAAATTTGGCACTACTGAGCATGTGTGATGCATTGTGGGATAGAAATTCTAATGTACTACTGAACACTCATGCAGTGCATTATGGGAGATAAGTTCCCATTATATATAACTAACACAAATTATTTCTCTCCAAATTTAATTTTTTCCTCCAATGTATTATGATTTATGAGAAATGGCAAAAAGCAATGCAAAAATAAAAATAAAATGCAATTTTTCATTTTTTGACATAATGACATAATCTTCAATTCATGCTGAACAAGTCACAAATACTCTATCGTGGCAACATTGTGATGTTTCATTGGAGGTTCAACAGAAGTTCTTAGTCAACTATAGTGACAGTATGAGAGACAGATGGCTTATTAATTAGCACATTTGTACAAGTACGTGCAGTACCAGAAATGTGGAATTTGAATTGTAATTTAACAGCATACCAAAAATGTTGCCTTTACACCAAGGAGTCATTAATCTTTGTGTGTCAGACTGCGATGGGTCATGCGTTATTAGGTCGTCTCTCTTAAGTTAAACGGCTTCTCAAAACAACCATTATTGTTGACATGGTTGGGTCAAGTGTCTGGTCATTGCTAGTGTCATCATCGTCTCCTGTATAGTATCCTCATTAGTAGTCTGTTTTGGGCATGATGTCGCATGATAACGTTAAAACATAGAGAGATACATTTATGTTCATGTACTCACATGCTACTCCTAGTTTTCTGAATCGTATACTTTGTACAAAATATATCAATTTATCATCGTCATTTGTGTGTACGTGTCATATTTACAACAGACACACCATAGAAGTGACACAGTTGGCATGTTAGATATGTGATATGCGTTCTGTGTGACGTCTATATCACATCTAAATTTTAACGCGATGGAGACTACTCTAAACTGTTTAATTTCCGCTGCTATTAAGTGAGGATGAAAGTTTGTGAAGGTCACTGTGACTCTAGGATCCCAGTGAATGTCACTGTGTCTCCCTAGGATCCTACCGAAAAATCACTGTGACTGTCAAGTCAGTGTGCACTCTAGGACCACATTGGAAGTTATGTAACTTTCTAGGACCTCACTGTGTCTCCCTAAGCCCACTGAAAGTCACTGTGACTTCCTAGGACTCCAGTGAAAGTCACTTTGACTCCCTAGGACTCTAGTGAAGCCACAGTCTACAGACCTTATACATGTATATAGTTTTCAATGCTGCAAAATGTTACATTGACTCACAAAATTTCAATCTTATCAAATTAAAGCATTATATAAACCGGACATAAATAGCTGAACATCCAATCAAATATAAAGCACTGTGATTTATGAGTGCATTTTATAGCCCTTTGAGGAATATTTTAATATTTCCTTCATTTTTGTAAAGCACATGGCTATAATTTCAATTATTGCTTTCATAAGCGCTTCATAATATATCGATTATTCAATAAACTCATAAAATTAATTAACAATTATGTGTTATTTGTTTGTTTTTTGTTAATAATTCAAGATAATTCAACATGCACGAATTTCCCCTTTGAACACCAGCTATATCTTTTGTCATCTATTATAATATAAATCTGCATATTTTTATCAATTTATAAAAAATAATTTATAAAAAAAAAATTGACAAAATGTTGCACGAAAATGTTGGTAGGAAAAATGATTGTTTTAATCTTGAGACAGATACGCCCACATAAGATATAGTAAATGTCAGGTTCATCGTGCCCTTGGAGTGTGTCTTCTGATTGGTTTTCCCCATCCCACATATCTACCTCAGGTTTTCAAGATAGAATTATCAACTTTATGTGACCCTGCGTTTTGAGTGTTGTACAGGAGATATATAATATCAAATATAATTTGATCTAATAGGAAAAGATAGTGTTTCAAATTAAACACCGGAAGTCACGCTGCGGAATATGTTAACAGGAATTCATTTTTAATGGTTTTATTAAAGCGCAAGTTATGGTAGTGCGTTGAAAAGTCAGTTGAGGGACAAATCACAAAAACAAGAATTGATGTGTGTCAACTAATTTGTCATCTCATTTAATTTGACACATTGTCATTATAGATTTTGAATTCTCATTGCCAAGCCCATTACAATACTCTTGCTTAGAAATAAAGGTTAAATGGTTGGATTGGTTGAAAGTAAATCTTTATAATCTTTCTTCTGTTCACAACCACATTTATTTTCATCAAATTTTAACAATATTTTATGTTTTCTTTTTTTTCAGCCTGCTGCAGAAGCAAAAGTAAGAAATAATTTTCTACTTTTGAAATAGTCGGATCTTTCACATTTAGTAAGCTCTCATTTTCATGGTGTTGGGGAAAATAGTTGACACTGTTTTTATAAAAGTGTAATATTTTCAGGGAAAAAAAAGACTCATGTTCATGATATATTAATTATTCACTGCATATCTTACATATCATATATTCCATCAGTTATTTATTTCATGACATTTAAATTTGCTCACTTCTTAATGTATGTAATTCAGGCAATTGTGTCAAACATGGAATTTGGTTATATACGTGTATGGCCAGTTTTGTGACATGATCTTTTGAGATTAACTTGCATTTCAGGGTAGCTGTTCAATAACCTTTTCACCACCAGACTTTCTCGCTCAAATTTTTCTGCACTTTTTTCTTATATTCTTCAATTTTTCTGGAAATTAACCCGAATTTTTGAGCCAACAGACAAAATTTGAACCAGTTTTCAATTTTTACTCCAAAAATTTGGCTATTTTTTGTACCAATCTTCTGAAAGAAAGAGCAGACTATAAACAGGACTATTTTGTGAATCTGTGATGAAAAGACTGTTCACACCTCTTGTAGAATTGCATGAAAGCTAAAATGCTCACATCTCCAATAGAAACCCTGGAAAGCTAAAATGTTGACTGCTAAAATTCTCACATCTCCAATAGAATCACCTGTCGACTGCTAAAATTCTCACATCTCCAATAGAATCACCTGTCGACTGCTAAAATTCTCACATCTCCAATAGAATCACCTGTCGACTGCTAAAATTCTCACATCTCCAATTGAATCATCTGTCGACTGCTAAAAGACTCAAATCTTCAATAGAATCACCTATCGACTGCTAAAATATTCAAATCTCCAATAGAATCACCTGTCGCTTTCTAAAATGCTCAAATCTATAATTGTATCACCTGTCAACTGCTAAAATACTCAAATCTCCAATAGAATCACCTGTTGACTGCTAAAATACTCAAATTTCTAATAGAATCACCTGTCGACTGCTAAAATTCTCACATCTCCAATTGAATCACCTGTCGCTTGCTAAAATGCTCAAATCTATAATTGTATCACCTGTCAACTGCTAAAATACTCAAATCTCCAATAGAATCACCTGTTGACTGCTAAAATACTCAAATCTCCAATAGAATCACCTGTCGACTGCTAAAATTCTCACATCTCCAATTGAATCACCTGTCGACTGCTAAAATTCTCACATCTCCAATTGAATCACCTGTCGCTTGCTAAAATGCTCAAATCTATAATTGTATCACCTGTCAACTGCTAAAATACTCAAATCTCCAATTGAATCACCTGTCGACTGCTAAAATACTCAAATCTCCAATTGAATCACCTGTTGACTGCTAAAATACTCAAATCTCCAATTGAATCACCTGTTGACTGCTAAAATTCTCACATCTTCAATAGAATCATCTGTCGACTGCTAAAATACTCAAATCTCTAATAGAATCATCTGTCGACTGCTAAAATTCTCACATCTCCAATTGAATCACCTGTCGACTGCTAAAAGACTCAAATCTTCATAGAATTATCTGTCGACTGCTAAAATACTCAAATCTCCAATTGAATCACCTGTTGACTGCTAAATTCTCACATCTTCAATAGAATCTTCTGTCGACTGCTAAAATACTCAAATCTCTAATAAAATCATCTGTCGACTGCTAAAATTCTCACATCTCCATAAATCACCTGTCGACCGCTAAAATACTCACCATCTCAATGGAATCACCTGTTGACTGCTAAA